CCCCAAAACCCCAAAACCCCAAAACCCCAAAACCCCAAAACCCCAAAACCCCTTTAATTATGTTAACTGTTGAGAATTATTCTTTCAGAAGACAACTGATTGCTCCAGAGTATCCTGCTTTATCTAGGAAGTATCATGGGATACCTCCCTTCTCAGACCCAGGGACTTTATATCCTTGAGAGTGGAAATCAACCCCAAATGTGAGTGAGTCCATAAGATGATCATTTCCAGCACCAAAATTCCCAGTAAAGATTATTTGTTTTGATTTATGTAATTGGGCTGACAATACAGCAATATGTGAAATATTTGCTGATACCATGAACCCAATACTGTGTAGAACATCTTCTTTCCTGATACTAAAGATTAATCTGAGCTTACTTTTCTATTCCATTTTCTTCCTTTGCTAGATCAGGTATTTTGCAAAGTGTGCCTGCGACAATATCGCCATCTATCTGGAATCCTGAGTCTGAGCCATAAATATCTTTAACAAGGATATCAACATTCTTAAGATCTCCTTTATCAGCCTTCTGAAGCATTGTACTATAATCCATATGTTTGTTGTATATTAAATTGGATAAGCCAAGCAAGGTCCCTCCAGATACCATTGTTCCTGTAACTCTTGTGTAATTAGGAGAAGGATAGCCTGATTTTCATAAGATGTAACTAGCACCAGATCCAACGTTGACTATAAGTTTAGGAAATTCAGACCTAGTCTTCTCCCCAGCCATAATCGCTCCTTCTTTTGTTCTATATGTATACAAATCCAAATCTGTATGTTCTATAAGTGCTAATGTTCCTTCAGCGATAGATCCAAGTTCGCATACTTTAACAACTTCAGTATCTTTATTCCCAAAATCCAGGCTATTTCTGATTTCTTTATCATATTTATAAGCACCGCCTCCAGTAACATGAACCTTGCTACCTACATCAACCCGCGAAAGAGCCTCAAGCACATCAGTAACTGACTTGGTATACCCAACTTTCACTTCTTCATGCTTTCCAATCTTGATAACATCAGTATGTTCAAGTAAGAGGTTTCGCCACAACTGAGTGTGTCCTTTTAGAGCAGCAACTTTTACCAAAGTTCCTCCTATATCTAGCCCTAATTTGTTAGGTCTAATCCTTGAGGCGAGCATTGACATTTTTATATTAAATTTCGATAAGTTGTTTCAACCTTTTAGAGTTTTATTGGGGTTTTGGGGTTTTGGGGTTTTGGGGTTTTGGGG